ATCACACCACGACATCTTGGTCACATTTAACCAAACTTTTTGAGTTGGCCAACCAAAATCTTTATCTTTCATTCATGAGAAACTTGGAGAGGACGGACTTTCTGCTGCATGACCCAAGTGCATTTCAGCCCAAGATGGCCGATGGTGTTTCCTTCCAGAATTTGTGGTTCCAAGCAGCAAAGCAACCCCAGATCATCATACTACCACCACCATGTTGGTCTTCCAGTATGCTTTTCTGAATCTCTTTAGATCTTCACACAGATCCTACTTGACCGTTTCCTTGGTCCTGCCTGGATGTAGTGAGATCAAACCAAAGAAGAGTGTTTGCTCATGTTGTAGCAACCATTCAAAATTGGCTTAAGGATCTGAAACATTAAAGTCTGATAAGGAGGAGCGAGAGAGCAAACTGTTTTTCTTTTTTTAAACTACTTCACTATTTTGGTCTGGGATCTAAATGATAGAAATCTTTTGAAAAAATAAAAAAACACAGCAAGGGAGTGGAATATTAAAAGATGGACGGATGCCAAAATACAATCTAAGCAGGTTTTAACTCTTCAGCCACTGCCGTCTTTTGGTTTTCGACCGACTTCAAACACAGCGTCAATGTTTTGACTTGAGCATGTCGAATGTGGAACATCGAACATGGACTGAGACGTTCAGGAATTTTACTCTGGTAAAATCTGAAATTTAGAAACAGAAAAATGATGGGAAACCTACGAGGAGCAACACTTCCACCTGGCTACGCTCAAAAAACTGCAGTAGCAAAAGCTTTTAGTTAGATTTTTCTCATAAAGTTTTTGTTTTGTCTCAGTTCCATTGAAATGAGACAAAAAGCTACATTTCAGATAATATTCTTCCTTCCATTGCGGAACAGAAAATCATAGCTGGAATCAAACGTTAGACATGCTCCAGTTTCTCTTGCCACACACACACACTAGTGGTTTGAGGTGCTGATTTCAGAGCCGCTCACGTTGCGCGTGAAGCCTCTCCTGTTGGCGATCGCTATCTGAAATACTGTTTTTGCAGAGTTGGATTGTGGGCGTGGGGAGAAAAAGGAGGAGGAGGTGGGAGGGGTAAATCAATCTTTTGTTTTTTCTCCTGAGAAGCATTTGTCTTGTTATCTGTAATCCAAAATGAGAACGGAAAACAGAAAATAATCCTCCACTTTCTGAAGTTCACTAGGTTTTGTGTGTGTGTGTGTGTGTGTGTGTGTGTGTGTGTGTGTGTGTGTGTGTGTGTGTGTGTGTGTGTGTGTGTGTGTGTGTGTGTGTGGAGTTCCATCAAAACAGATGCATGTGTGTGTCAACACAAGCAGCTCCTTCTGGGTTGTTTCTTCTCTGCACAGCTGAGGAGAAAAAGTGGCCTGCTCCAGCTGATCTGTGTGTTGTTGTTGTTGTTTTTTTTTCCCCCTTTATTTACATCTGGGCAACATCTGGTTTGCGTCTGTCCAAGACCTATTGAGCGGTGCGTGACAGTGCAACAGAGAGGCAAAAGGAAGGTGAAGGGCATGCATGGGGGGGTGGAGTCCATTTGTGGCCCGACTGGCTTCTCTTGTGTGTGATCATGTTACCTGCACGGCGACCCAGCAGTCTCCATGGTGTCGTCTTTGTGAAGGTTGTCTGCTCAGTTGGAGCCGAATCAGATATTCTCCATTCATTTTCCTTGACACCTTTTTGTCGTCTTTTTGTCGTCTTTTGCACCAATGTCCTGATCAAGATTGAGGATTTCTCGCTGTTGCTTCGAGATCCAGATGTCGAAACCACAGGAGGAGAACTTTTTAGATCAGTGTTTGGCTCCTTCTTGTCGCTGATGGTGTTGGGTTTCTTCTTTTTTTTATTTTTTTTTATTTAAAGTTTGCAGCAGTGAATCAGGTCACATATGGAGGTGAAAGATCTTCACACAAACCACATGGAAGATGAAAACTGTGAAAGCTGTCATGTTTTGTGAGCCAACATGTAAACCAAAACTGTGATAAATAAGACCGAATTGTGATGGGACTTGTTGATGGCTTTAAAAAGATTTCCGTTCAAGTTTATTTGTATAGCACATTTCAGCAACAACGTCAAAGTGCTTCACATCATACATTCACCAGTTGAGAAACAAGCTTGTAAGCATTAAATTTTGTCAAATAATCAATACACATCAAATATATTGATCAGAGTTCTATTCTCTGTTAATCAAAGGCAACTCTGCATTTAGTCTTGATTTAAAAGAACAGTGTTTCAGCTGTTTTGCAGTTTTCTGGGAGTTTATTCTGGATTTGCCACGTATAAAAACTGAATGTTGCTTCTCCATGTTTGGTTCTCTATGTTGTTTCTTTGCATTTTATTGATGGACATGTATGTGAGACATTTCTGGGGATGGATTTATATAGTTCAGCCTGAGCGATACCGACACTTTGAGTTACAAAAGTATCAATTATCTTTTATGCTCTGCAACATTCATCATACAACATCCACTTTATGCTGGTAGAATTAAAGATTTTGCATTTTCCTTTGCATGTTTGTAGAAGGTACATAAACTCTCTTTGGACGTTATATTTTGTGAATATTTCATAACCAGATATTTATCTTTGGTTGGTTAGACTTTGCAATGAAAGACAACGTGAAGAATGTTGTTTTCCCATCGGTTTGTGCCGCAACGTGTTGAAAATGTTGATCTGAGATTCTCTGGAGTTGCCCGAGCTGCAAAATCCGCGTCCACGTTTTTTCGCATCCATTTTTAAAAGTATGTGCGAGTAGTGGCAGTGAGAAAGCAAAAGCATTAGGTGTGTGATAAAGCACGAAAGAGTAACACAGGAAGCGAAGGGGCCCCCCAGTTTTAGCCACAAAGTTGTAGAAGTGGAAGCGTCTCACTATAGCGCCTGTATCACAACCTTCCCCCTTCTGCTGATGTGTGTTCAGATTACTACTACTACTACTAAGCTGTAAATATAGTCGCACACTTTAATGTGATATTTAGGTAACTTCCTCTTTATGCAGGGGCCCAAGAATGGAAAATTACTCCAAATCTGCATGCTGCACATCTGCAGCAGCAACAGAAACGGCCAGAACAAGACGGGATATTTACATAAAGACTCGTTTTATTATTTGACCCGTCCAGAAAATCCACTCTGAGCAGCTGCAATGGGCTTCCAAATGGGGACACAACAATCTGTTGTGGATGAAACAATGAGCTCATGGAGCTTTAGGCCATGATTTAGGGGGGATCACACGTCTCGTGATGTAACAGAGTCATGGGTCTCCCCTTGCAGGCTCTATCCCCTGGATGCTGACACAGAGCGCAGCTCGTCTCCGCAGGGAGTACATTCTATCCCCTAATCACCAAAACCCCTGGAAAATCTTTGTATCTAGCCTCTTTTATTCTGATAGACCTAATAAAAAAAATAAAATCCAACTGCAGTCTAAAGCAGGAGTGTCCAAAGTGCGGCCTGTGGGCCATTTGTGGCACATGAACTGACTTTTTTATGTGGTGCCCAACTGCAGTTCAAGAATGATCCAAATTTATTGAACTTTTTTCTATTTTTACTGGGAATAAAATTATTAATGTTCTTGCAGTTGAAAATGTTCAAGTGCACCACAAATCTGGAACAAACCTCCAGAAAACTGCAAAGCAGCCGAACCACTGATTTCCTTTAAATCAAAGATAAAAATCTTTGATGTGCTTTGATGGTTTTGAAGATGGCATTTGTCAAAATGTGTCGCTTATTTCACAACCGGTGACTGAACGATGTTTTTACGAAGTACAGAACTTTGAACTGCCTTGCAGATAAACTTGAACTTAAAAGTGTTTGTTCTTTTAGAATCAAACTTTTATCAGCGGAGCCATGTCTACCCAGAGACTTTTACTGAGAAACTGAGTTCACTGCACCCAAATCAGCTTTTATTTAATTTATTAAACTCTGCTAAATATAGGAGGCGTCTTGGAAGAAAATAACCCAAATCCTGTTTTTAAATCAGAATAAATTTGTTAAACCAAGCCTAAAAGAATTTGAAAACTAGATGTACTTTAAAGTACGTTATAAGTAGGAATTAGCATTTTAAAAAATATCTTTAACTGTGTCATTTCTAATTGAACATCCCACCATCCCGATGAAGAAAAAGACCCTTAAGATGCAAGGTCATTACAACCAATGCAATGGTTTACATTAAAGCACATTCACAAGATAGAATGGCCTAGTCAAAGTTCAGATGTAAATTTGATTTAAAATCTGTGCTTGAGCTGTTTTGCAAAAAAGAGTAGATGAAATTTGATCTATTTCAGGTGGTAAGAAGTTTCACAAAAGTCATAAAGGGATGAATACACTTTGTAGATTTTTACTATTTATTATTTTTTTTGTAGAATAAAATGTTACCATTTGCTGATCTTTCCCCCCATAAAATAAAGAAAATGGTACATGTAATGTAAAAAACAGTGAAGGCGATTTCAATAAGTTTGAATGATTAGCCTCTGTCTGTGAAGCTGAAATGTTTATTTATTTATTTATTTATTTATTTATTTATTTATTTATTTATTTGAAAAATCGTTTTGATTTACATCTACACCCGTTTTTAAAACTGTCCGGTCAAACCAGAGAGGTTCAACCCAACTGTGTTCTCACTGTGTTGCGCCACCTGGTGTTTCACAGAAGTCATTGCCTTTACATTCCGTTAGAAAACAGCCGCTGTGGAAGTTTGCTGCCTCCAACAAGCAGACTCACTGCTCCCCCTGCTGGTTGACGACCAGCGCTGCAACTTCAACGGACTCAAAATTGCCTATAAAATTTTAGAGACGATTAAAATTTATGTGCAATAAACTGGGTGTAATAGTGGAACGCCCTGCAAAAAGAGAGATGCGTTAACTTGTTTTTACTGTCAGTAGGAACTGGCTCAGCCACAACCTCTGTATGATTAAACGTACTTAATGCTGAATGTACAGCTGATTTGGAAGATAATGAAGCTTCAAGTGAACATTCTTGTAATTTAACTGTTTTCAGATGTACAGCTGTAGAGGCAGAACGATCAACATCTACTGATTAACATGAAGCAGCTTGGCATCCACATCCAGCAGGGGGCGCTGGTACTTTTCTCCAGGGGTCAATGGGTGAAAAGCAGGGAACACACGGACAGGTCGGCCGTCAGTCACAAGACAGCAGGACGAACAGACACTCTTCAGATCTTATTTTTAAGTTATTCTGCGATTACAAACTAATGCGAATAGATTATTAAATAAAATATTTTAGTTGCTCCTTACCTTAAATTGCTAATTTTGCTTGAACATGGCAATGAGTTCACTGCAGTCCAAACCCTACAGTCACTAGCTCTCACTCCAACATAGCATCTTTGGGATGTGGACAAATCTGCAGGAAGCGTGTCATGGTATCGTGACAGTATGGACATAATGGACTATGAAGAGTTGAGGAAACTGTTGATCAAACCTCACTTCAGCCACCAATAAGAAACTGTTTTGTTGTTTGTTTGTTTTGTTTTTTTGTTTCATCCTCAGATGTAGATGCAGGTGAGTCAAATCTAATGTACTTTCTGTACTCAGAACCAGAACGATATAAACATGTACAGTATCTACATGTTTTATTCTGTACCCTTTTTCTCCTCAGGTTGTGACGCATTCCTGGAAGCATGTCGGGACAGAAGGCGCATTAAAATAAGAAACCAGTTACATGTGCTGTTTTCATTCTGCGGCACCGGCGCGGGAATGCTTGACGTGATACTTGGAAACGTCTGCCAGTCCTTAAACAGAAGAAGACGGATACAAGAGACGCAGAGTCGTTTTCCAGCCTCAGTGGAGTTCTGATTTAAATCCAGGAGTGACACTGAGCTCCAAAACACACCAGTCCACACCCTTAAAAATCTGCCACTTTTCAGGTTTCCTGCTCTCATTTTTACGTTTTTTTATACTGTTGTGTTTTCCGTTGCATTCACTCGGGCGCTATCCACCCTGTTGATGTACCAGTCATAGCAGTGACATGAGGAATTTACCTCACCCTCGGGGCACCATGGTGCCTGTCAGTCGTTCTGCTTTTTTCCTCTCTCTCTCTCCCTCTCTCTCTCTTTTCCTCTGTGTGTGTGTGTGTGTCTCTCAAACAAACACACACTCACTCTTTCTTTGAAACAAACCAGTGTAGCTCAGTGGTTTGTTGTCGGCAGTGAAGGCAGCTGTATGGGGTAGCCCTCAGTTCATGACTTCCTCTCCATGGCCTGCCGTCTCTCCGCCTCTGGCTCCTACACCGTTGTCATCATCCCACTGATGACCAGCCTTCACAGCCAGGAGGCCCTTCGCTTCTACCTATGGGTGAGGTCGTGTTTGTGTATATTGTCTCCGTGTGTGTTTTATGGTCAGACATGATAACTAGGTCACAATTTACTTCCTCCGGAGTCCATAAAAGTGTCACAAAGTTGATGCATTTGACTGTGGTACATTTTCTTGACCTTTTCCCGAAGCTTGAAATTTAGTACATATTATCTAACTATATGTCTTTCTGTAGAAGCAGCTTCAAGAGTGACTACAAGGTGTTAGTTCGCCTTTCAACTCATATAGGGTGCTGATTATGGATAAATAACTTCTGTGAGTGCATTTATTTTTTTACTTATTTGCAGTATTTTGGAAAAGTTTCACTGTTAAGGAAATCTGTAAAGAACAAATTGTAATATCAGACAAATATGATCTTAGTAAATGCTAAATGTAGTTTTTATATGATGCAAAGTTGTTAAACTAAAATCATTTTACTGCTAAATTATGAATTAATTGTAATTAGTCACATTGTTTTGGATCAGCTTTACTAGCCACACCCAGGTCTGATCATTGCTTGAACTGTAGAATCAAGAAATCACTTGAATAGTACCTGTCTGACGACATGAAGTAAGCTAAGATTTCAAAAAGCAGCACTCTGACTAACTGAAGTCAAATTGCTCTTGTTTTAGATTAGCTAGAATTGCTAAAATAATTTTTATTTGCTAAATGTCACAATAATGAGAGAAAGAATTTGTCAGATTTATTTTTTGTAAAGTCCAGTAGTGTTGTCTCCTTTAAAATCTTCTGGAAACTTCTTCAAATCTTTCTTCTATATTTCTCTTCTGATTTGTGTCTTCAGTGTTTTCAAATCTATGTATTTAAAACATACAAATAAGCTAAATGTAGATATGGAAGAGTTGGCTAGAAAGGCATCATTTTGACTGCTCAAGCTGGTTAGCTTTGTGTGATAGTTAGCTTCATATTTCCCTTTGCTAAAATTAGAAAGTCCTCTATACCATCAAAGAAAATAAAGCTGTTGCCATTTTTGAAGCTTGTCATTGACATTATACACTTCATGAACTCTCATGAATATTATTTATTACCTATATGTAATAAATAAGAACTTCTCATGTACAGCTAGCTTCTCTGTAGCGCTCCATTTACACTTGATAGCATGTTAATCATTTTAGTTTTCAACTAACACTAGTTTTGGCTAGCCTCTAGGAGTGACTTTTAAATGAGAGTAACAACACCTAGAAATCTGATGTCAAGTTAGCGACTAGGTGGTAGCGTTAGCTTTACTCTAGCTTTACTACTCAATTGTCCACGTCCTTGTTGCTGCATGTGGGTCCTCCTCTCTGGAAGGATTCAAGTTGAACTTGTTGCAGTACAGAAAACACCCTAAAACTCTCCCAGTTACTTTAGGTTAGTAACACTTGCTTTTCTTGTTAGGAACTGGTTTGAAAAGCTGGCGAACGCTTAGATTTTGGACCCAGTCCAGACAGGGATGGACTCTAGCAACTGTTTTGGCAACGGCATTGGCCCTGGGCCCCGAGGATTTAAAGGGCTTGGACATTTTTATCACTTTGGATGTATTTTTTGGAAGAAACGAATTAGTATTTTAGGGGTTTCCCAAGAAGTTCAGTCTCATATAAACTATGAATCCATTGGGTTTTCATTTATTACCACCTCCTCTAACCTAATGCTGGACCCTGATGCATAATTATGACACAAATTCAAACCATTATTCCGGAAAATGACAGAACATTGGCAAAACCTAAAAAGTTATGTATCGATTGTTTGGAACAAAAACACACTGCTGTCATTATAGGACCACAGTGGCCGACAGCGAACTGTCCTTGAAACCTACATTGATCTTTTTTTGTGTGTGTGTTCATAAACACATCAGCATGTGCGCCTGGAGCCAAATCTATGAAATAAAACATTTTAACATGATGTGACATCATGATGAAGGTTTTTTTCACTTGTGGGATGTCCCCCACAAGTGATAATCATGGTAGAATCTTTTATTCTTATTTTTCTGGTACATTCTGAGCCTGTAATTTTGCTCCTTTAGATCCGAGTCCACAATGTAACATATTATTGCTCCTATAAGCTTTGGACTGAAAGGAAAAGTTTAAAATTTTGGCTTTTCACCATGCCAAAATTACAAGAGGATTTTGACTTGGCCTCAACAATTATATTAATATCCCTAAAATCTAATTTAATAAGCAGTTTTATGTTTGGGTTTTTTTGCCTATAAATTTACAGCCCTTCTTTGAGGCGGCTGATGTGTTCCTGATTCTGATGATTCATCATGTTTATTTATTTTTTTCCTGCTATCAACAGTCAGTATTTCCATTTTGGCTGAATTTGTCTGAGTGATAAATCCCCACATGTCCAGTTTGTTCTGCAAAGTTCCTTGTTTAGTCTTCTGTACAGTTAGGGAGACTCAATTAATATTTTCAGATGTGCTTACATTGTTACTATTGTCCATATTTTCTGAAGTTTTTCTGTTTCATCATAGTTTTAATTATATTTTAAATATTAAAGTGGCCTCAATGTGTTGTACATCACTTCATTATCTTCTTGTGATATATATTTTAATCTATTTCTATCAAACTCTCTCCACTGGAAGTAAGAATAATAGTGGTTCTGATTACTATTCATGTAATTTGTAGTAAAGTAGCTGTCCAAATGAAGAGTTTCTACATTTTGATTTTTTTTTCTACTCAGATTAAGCGGATGAAGGACCTGGAAAAGGAAAAGGATGCCCTGTGGTCGGGTCTGGAGGTTCTGGAGAAGGGTCGGCTGTGGTACTTCCAGCGGCTTGAGGAGAACAGGGCCCTGCGGTGCGTCGCGACCAGATACAGCACCGGCGCTTACCACAAACGTGCAGCAGAGGTACAGCGTCATGCGCTGTTGAGAAAACAAACAGTGGATGAGTCGGCCTGAGAATGAACTGGACATTTATTTTTTGTTTCATGTATAGCATTGGAAAGAAGGTCTGTTAGAAAAACAAAAACTATCACCAACTTTCACATGAACAAGCCCAAATGTCTTGATCAGATGAGACAACAATTGAGCTAAACTAGCACTGACAAAATTAATAAAACAATGATGAGAGACTATCTCTAAACTTTTATGGCTTAACTTAAGATCAACAGGTTTATGGCTGAAACTTATAGACATTTGTGTGTTCCGAGATTCTGATTGAGATTCTTTGACTGAAGCAGGTCAAACCTTTTAATCCTTTTAAAAATGTACATAGTATGTTTTGAAAACAAGGAAAGCAATTAAACTCTGTTAAGAAATAACAGAACTTAATAATAAAATTATATGTTTTTGCATAACCAGCAAAAACATCCACCAAAAGCTTCTGGACTACAACAAAAACCTCAAGTTAGATAGATAGATAGATAGATAGATAGATAGATAGATAGATAGATAGATAGATAGATAGATAGATAGATAGATAGATAGATAGATAGATAGATAGATGTCTATCAAAACAGCTACTCAAGATTAGAGAAAGCAAGTTTGGAAGCCATGATGTTGCATTTTAGGAACTCGCATCATCCAAAACGTTCACTAATTATTTACGTCGTTTACATTATCAGCTCTATTCTCTTTAACTGTGGTGAAGTGTTTGTTTCTCTGTAGGCTCGGTCCTGCCTCCCCACGCACATCCAGCGGGTTAACGGCTCCCTCGGCTCTATAATGAGTGAATCCAACGTCAGCAGCAATCCCTGTCTCTGTGATCCACTGGGGGACAGCGACCTCCGCTGGCGAAACACGGTACTGACTCAGGTACATATAAAGCTGAATAAGTTTTAGCTCATTTCACTCAATTCCTCAGTCCATGCCTTCACACCAATTTAAAAATAAATCCTCTCGTAGAAAGTGAGCGAGAAGAACCGTCGGATCTCCGTGTTGGAGCTGGAAAAGGAGGCTCTCCTTGACAAGCTGGAGGATCTGCACTTCTGCTGAGTGCCTGAATTCAAATGAGATGATCCGCACTCCGTCGGCTCCCAGAGCGGCTAAGTGTGCAACACTTAGTCATTTGTAAATGTATAAATTGCTATAAATTCTATCTAATCTTTTTTTTTCTGGTGTTCCTTTCAACATTATAAGCTTGGCCAACGAGTTTTCAAGCAACTTGTCTGACATGTTGTTGGCAAAATTCACCAGTGAGTCACTCATAGTTTATGAAAGCCAAACCCTGCAGAATGAAATCCGCTGTTACAGCAGTTTCCCATAATCTAGTTGACTTTGTGATTTACTTTTTCCTGACTTCTGTATTTTGGATCTTGTGTTTTGAGTTATTTCTGTATTTTCCCCACTTAGCTCTGTTATTTAGTGTTTATTGATCTTATCATAGCCATCCCATGTTCCTGTGATGTCTTCAGTATAATCTCAGTTCTTTTCAACCTTGCTCCCCACTCATGTAGTTTCCAGGGGGGTTTCATAAAATTACCTTCTTTGCAGATGATACTGTCAGTTTTAGTACACAGTATCACCAAACTGGTGTACTGTTTTTCTTTTGTTTACCTGAGGTGTAGAGAGTACCCTGCATCATTTTGTGTCCCGGTTCTTCTGTTTCCGTCCCCACATGAGGGCTCCCTGTCTGGACACGTCGCAGGAACCTCCTCTGGTGGTCCCACGCTGATCTTACACCAACCGATAAAACTTTATCGCACGCAGTCATCTTTAACGTTTGCAGGAATTTTCTCTCGTGCATAGCACAACTGTAGCTTTGTGCACACAGAAAAAGAAGGCTGAATTGTTTACTACCTTAAGACGGATGGTGATGTCTGATCAGAGACTGCATCTGTTTGCCCATTTCTACAGTAGCTCCATGCACAGACCTAACTGTTTTATTTTTAGCTTTTCATATCGAAATTTTTCCATCAAATTCTCATCTTCCCTGAGTGCTTGTTGACATCAAGGCCGATGGTGGCCCTCTGTCCCCGCCTCTGTTTGGATAGGTTGATCAGATCGCCGCTGCTGTACTTTGATTGAACAAGCATCAGAAAAGCACTTTGATTAATCTTCTTTTTTGTGCACTCTGTGACATAAAAAAGTGGAACTAAACCAAATACTCCTGCTCGAACTATGCAATGTAAAAGAAGCGCCTCCTGTGAGAAATCGGGGCACGAACCCGATTACAATCAGCTTATTGCACATCCGGAAAGAAAAACATCCATTATGACGGAGGCTTCCCTTTAAGTAGCTTTATGCTTTCGGTCTTCACAGCGCCGCTGAACCATCAAGCCTGGGGCTACCAGCACTCAGCTAATTATTGGGTCTAATTTGTACACAGTGCTGCCAAATAAACACCTTTGGTGCGGATCGTCACGCTTCGAGGCTGTCAATGCCGCTGTTCCATAATAGCACGGTTCATCTGAACTGCACTCTGCTGGTCTTTCCTAATCCCTTTTACTTGCATTAAAGGTTTTGTTTACTCTTTCAAAAAAAAAAAAAAAAAAAAAAGGGGGGTTTGGCACCAGTGAGAATCGGAAAAGAGAATATGGAACTAAATACAGGTCAATCTTCGGAGGTTCACCTTTCAAGGCCACACCAACCCGAAAGACAGAGTCAGAGATAGAGACAGTCTATCACATAATATTGATATTAACACACTAAATTCACAAAATGTGAAGAAATTGAACAAGTATAGTTTTTTTTTTTTTTTTTTGCCAGTGTTGAATTAGGAATTAGGATTTCACCATAAGGACCATTTCAAACAATGTTGGTTTGCTCTTAGTGCCAAAAACAACATAAAAAAAAGCAGAACGAAACAATAAACAAACAAAAAAATATGTAATTCAAACAAAGATGATGAAAGTTGTGTCCATTTGGTCCATTTAAATATCCTGAATAATAAATACAGTGTTAAAAAATAGCAAAATCAAGAAAATAATTGTTTTTATGAAATTTATTTTAGCAGATATTGATCACTATTTCTGACTAGAAGTACTTTATTGCCAGATAAAGCACATGCAAATCCCGCCCAATTTTAATATACTAGAGCAGTTCACGCTTCTTACTGATTATTATGATCATTTCACTTTTGCATTTGCATCTTTTGGTTTATGACTAAAGCATAAAACATTAGTAAATATGTTCTACCTAAGTGGCATGGAAACCTTTTCCTGGCCAACCACCGCTAAGATGCTCAACTTGTTGGCAGTTGATTTAGCATTAATGCTGTGGCTAAGCTAACTGTAGGTGGATACAAACTTCAATTAAGACATTCAGACATTTAATTAATGTCTGATCAATGTCTGATCAAAATTTTAAGATATAATTTGACACCATCAAATTTAACCGTTATTAAACAAGAAGCTTACAAATTAACATTCCATTAAGAATCATTTAGTATAAAACTTTTATCTTAATTCTTTTTGTCTTTTACTATCAGTTACATTTTGCATTGCTTAGAGAAAAAGTATTGTCTTTGCTATTTTATTCATTTAAAGTTTGCTTAGGAGATTAAATGCACCATCTTTTTGTATGAATTTTTTTTATATTACAAAAACAGTTTTAGCTTAATTTTAACAAACTTTTGCAATTAGCATTAGTTTATTATTTATTTTGCAGCCTACACAAAATATAAATTTCTTCCTGAAGGGGAATATGTTTTTCTGTTGTGATGTTCACATAATTGCACAGTTAGGCCCTGATGGACTTAAGTCTAAAGAAAACTTTTAATTTGAACAAATGACTGTAAATTATATTAATATTTCGAAGTCAAAGTCACATGAAATTGATAGAGAAACTGTGAAGGGAGATAAAAATTAAGGTGAAATTTAGAGAAGTTCAGTGGACAGTTGTGTAAATAAAATGCAGTCGCATAAGATTTTTCTAAAACTAAATTTAAATTTGAATACATTTATTTAATTTGTAAAAGCAGAAAAAACACAACTACTGCTGCTCATGAAATCTCACAAAGTATTTTTGTCATGATTATTTATGCCATATTACTAAATTCATGCTCAGCACAAAATAAGATGAAGGATCTGTCATGCTATGGACGTGTTGCACATTTTGAGTGATATTAAAAACTATTTTTCTTTACTGAATAGATGTATTCAGATTTAAGATTTTTTTTCTTTTTCTTATTTTTTTTAAAATTCCTACAATTTATTTTATTTTTTTTTAACATCTCTTTCCCTAAACTGTATTTTTGCTTATGGAAATCTTCAGTAAACATTATCCCCGCTGTCGCTCATGCTAGCTTTGGACTCTCCGTCACTTCCGCACTCTGTCCTCCGCCGCAGAGCCTCGCAGTCGCGCGCCTCATTGAACGACATCTCCATCCGGGAGACGTCCACGTCCAGCAGGCCCTGCAGGTGCTTGATGTAGTCAATGGCCGCTCGCAGCGTCTCCACTTTACTGAGCCGCTTGTCCTCAAACTCCTGCGGCAGGTGCTCTCTGAGGCGCGCGTACCCCTCGTTGACGCAGCGCACCCGGTGCCGCTCGCGCTCGTTCCGCTTCTGGATGAACGCGGGCTCGAAGGAGTACTCGCACACGCCGAAGGGAGCGGGGAAGGGGAAGCAGGGCAACCGCCCGCAGGGGAACCCCTGGTCGAAGTAGGCGGTGTCGATGTGGAAGGGCATCCCCAGCCGGAGCGCATCCTTGTGGCGCGCGGAGCCGCTGTTCACGGAGATCCCGCGGAGAGCCAGCGGAGGCACAAATATATTCTCCATTAACTTCTTATTATGAGATATATTTCTGGAAAAAAGAACAAGCATTTGTGATGAACAAAAAAACACGGACAATTCAGGTAAGTTAATGCGAGGATTTCTTTTTCTTTTTCTTTTTTTTTCTTTTTTTTTTTCCAAAAGTTAATTTCTCACCCTGTCAGACTCTCCCCATCTGTCCAACGCTTTTCAGAAAAAGATTCCTCCTGATGGATGAAGGGATAGAAACAGCCTGGTTCTAACTTGAGAGCTTTGAGGCGTTTAACCTATAGGGGTGTGATCTGGGGCGGAGATGGTCTTGGATCGAGATAAAACTACAAAACATGTCCTTCCTTCCGCTCAGTGGGAAGTAGATCTCACCGCAAAGGAGAAAACAACAAACTGCAAGAAAAAAACCCCCTTATCTTTCATCAGTACTGAAAAGCCCTGTAGTGTACCAATGTGGGTATTCTTTGAGATGACAGATAAGTTTGTCACAGTTTTTTTACACTCAAAAAATAACCTCTAATGACTGTTTTAAACCCAGAGTCTAATCTGTAAAATATAAATTTGAAATATTATTGATGGCAATTTCTTTTTACTGTGTAAAATATTTACTCTATGTCAACATGATCCAAGAAAATCTAAAACTAACTACAAAAAAGAAAAAAAAACACAGCAAGAAAATAAAAAAACATCATAGCCCAATTGTAAGATTTTTAAGCAGTATCTACAAGTTAATGAAACATTTGTTTTTTTATGCCAACTCTAAATAAATGAACACTAAATAAAATAAACATTTCAACCTAATTGGTTTTAAGGTTTGAGTTTTGAAAGATTGGCATCTGTATTGTTCACACAATATGCAGATGACTGTGAGATTTGTTACTGAAACTATTTTTACCTTGTTTTTTTTAAAACACATTAAACAGAATAATTTAATATGCTGAGGTGTTGGTGTTGGTATCCTTGATGAAGAAATACATGAAGATGAAAATAACAACAATAAACCTGCATCCAAATCCTAGCTAATTGTTCCCGGGCAGGAAGCTAGCGTTTGTACTACAGCACAGCTACCGATTAGAGGAAGTTAGAAAAGTTGAAACATCAATAAATCTTAATATTTACAACTAATTATCCCAGAAAAAAATGTACAAAATGTATTGCATTTGGTATCTTTATGATGTGTTACAAACTAAAAGCAAATTATGTAAAGTTTTAGATCATTTGGCCACAAATGAGCTAAAATGAGTTGAGATTTTTTGCCCGTCTAAAGTCATGTGGATCTAAAATCTTAAATCACTAATTTACTTATTGAATATGACTACATCTTCATGTCTGGTAATAATCTGGCCTTAGTTTGTCTTGCGAAATTGAGCTCAGCTTTCTAAAAAGTGTTCAATTGCAGGTAATTCATGCTTTAACAAGGTGATATTTTTACATAAGGTCAGGTTAGATTGGATGAAATTCAGCATTTGAAAACCTCTTGTGCACATTTTTGTTATTTAAATACACTAAACTGAAAAATAAATATATTTTTTTGTTTTTGTCAATGATTTAGCAGTTTTCCAGATTACTAGAGTTGCTATGGAGAGATTGCCATGGAAACCAGAAGAAAACCAGACTCACTTGTTTTCATTTAAGACATTCGGACTTCTAAACCACCTGGTCTCAAATGTATCTGCCAAAGTCAGCAGGCTAACAATCTGCTGAGTGTGTGAAGAAGAAATGTCTTATGAAGACAGGGTTGTGCATTTACTCACATATCTAAGAACCGATTTTAGGAGTCCAAGGTAAGGATGGAATTGAAAATGAGTTTGACACCCCTGGTATGTCTCATTAAAATATGTTTAGGGTCATTATGTTTCAAAATGTGGAACATTTCTGAGGGCAATGCAACTTTACGCTAGTTTGTTTAGCTACATCCGAGTGAGCTTGATTCTCTTTTTGTATTTGTTGTCAGGTCTGTTACCTACACAACCTCAGGACCTGAACATGGACCTGAGAACAAAAGCAATGCCATCGTCGAACTTAAGAGGATATTCAAACTCATCTGGCATATTGTTTTAGTCGGAATTCTGAGCGGGATCCTCCTCGCGGTGGTATTGATCATCATTGTCGAGTGGAACACCAACCAAGTCGTGATAACAAGTCTAGAGCAAGTCAAAGAGGAGATGGCAATCAACACCGAGAGGCTGCTAGAAGAGAAAAACTGGATTGCAGAACAGCTGAACATAACCAAGGCAAACTTCTCCATTCTGAAGGCCGAGTATGACCAGATGTGGTCTTCTTGCAATTTAACCGTGCTGGAGCTGGAAATCAACCGCCTGAATGGGGTCTTGAAGAGAGCTGCACAAAGTAGAGATCAGTATGAGAGGCAAGTCAGGCAGCTGACGAACCAAGTGAAGACTCTCCAGAATAACTACCGGCCTATGGAGCAGGAGAACAGGAAACAGCGTTCGATCCTGTCCTCCAAGCGGCTCGACTACATCTGGAATCTTTGTGACCGGACCACGTTGCGGTGCTCCCGCTGCCTTCGGGGTTGGAAGGAGCACGCTTCCCGGTGCTTCTTACTGACCAAAGTGGATAAGAACTGGGAAAATGCTCGCATCGATTGCCTCAAGTACAAGGGGGACCTAGCTGTCGTCCACAACGCCGAAGATCAGGCGTTCCTGACGAACCTGACGTTCCAGTTTAAAAAGGCTAATCCCGACATAACCTTTCACTCAGCGTGGATCGGGCTGCAGGACTTGGTCAAGGAAGGAGTCCACTTCTGGGTCAATGGAGAGAGAATCAAATGGGATGTCATATACTGGAAAACTGGTGAGCCCAACAATGCCATCGCTACCTGGGACACTGATCAGGCCGGTCAGGACTGCGTGTCCATAGTACCGCCAGATGCGGTGGGCCCTGAAGGTTGGATGAACAGCTGGGATGACATTACTTGTGTTGGGAAACGTCACTACATCTGTGAGACTGATGCTCTGATTTTGGCGTAGGATGGACGAAGTCCTGTTTTAATCTGGTGACAAGACACATGTGGGAGGAAGTAGTTGGATCACAGAGACTGAAATGCAACTTTCTTGTTAAAAAACACAAAACTCTGAGCAGACAAAGCTCGGAATGAAAGATTGTGGGGGCAGCATCATGCTGTGGGGATGGGATGGGGTAATGAGAAGGTAGATGGAGCTAAAAACATATTCAGTCTATACCCTAAGAAAATCTAAAACTACAGAAGAAGCAAAAGAAAAAAAATTAAGAATTGTTACCTGTATGGTTCACACAGTATACAGATGACTATTCGATTTATTTCTCCCCCCACCCCCCTTTTTTTTTTTAAGAAAGCATCAAACAAGAACACAGAATAATTAAAAATGCAGAAATGCTGCTGTTGGTATGCTTGATGTACAAATGTGGGAATACACAATTAACAACAACAGACCTGCAACCAAATCCCAGCTAACTGTTCCTGGTCAGGAAGCTAGTGTTTGCCCTTCAGCACAACTACCAGATACAGGAAGTTAGAAAAGTCAAAAACTTCAATAAACCATTGCATTAAAACAATGGAGTAAAACCTTAACATTTGCAACTAATTATCCACGTCATAACAGAACAATTGTATAAAGTATATAATTGCATAAAATATAACATTGTAATTGTATATGATGTATAATTGTATAAAATGTTACAAACTAAAGCCAGTTTGGTTAGAGTAATTTTCCCATTTTAAGACAAATAAAGGGGAGAAAGAAACTGTGGTTTGCTGGTCTCCCAAAGTCTTAGTAATGATTTTGTGACCCTTTCCAGACTAAATAGATGACAGGGATTTTGATTTCTACTGTTTCTGAAGTTTTTTGATGATTTATTTATTTTTTATAGATGGTGCTATAGCTTTTATTTTACATTTCATATGATAATGATAATATAATATGACAATGGGGCTTGTTTGAGTGCATTCTGATTTATTAAATATCACTAAATCTTCATGTCAGAGCCTCAGTTTGACTTAATGACAGTTTTGTTTTAACAAGATGGCTGACATTTTCACGTAGACTCAGGTTGGTTTGGATAGCTTTTTTTCTCCATTACTGAATGAAATTCAGCATTTGAAAACTGATTCTATTTACTCTTACATGTTATTTGAATTCACCAAAACTCAAAGTAATGTTTTCTTTTGTTGTTGTTTATGTTTTCCCCCCCCAATGATTCAGCAGCAGGACACGAGAGATTGCCATGGAAACCATACTCCCTTGTTTTCATTTAAAACATGCTCATTTTTGTCCATTTAAAATCACCTGGTCAAATGTATGTTGCCAAAGTCAACAGACCCATGCCATGACATTGCTCACTTATTTAAGAAACACTGTAACTCTTCCCAGGTAAGGATATAATTACAGGATATTGATGAAGGAACCGCAGATATATTGATTTATATATATTAGCTTGTTAAGATGCAAAATGTAACTGTATATAAAATAGTATGGGTTCCAGAATTATTTCAGAGTTTTGAGACTAGAAATTTAAGAGCTACTTTTTATTTACACTATTTAGACCAGTTATTTTTACTTCCCCTCCATCTCACAAACAGATTTGTGTTGATATATATCGCATTGTCATTTTGTGGCAAAATGTGGAAATATTTTAAGGGCACTGCAGTTAGTTTTACATCCTGATGAACATATTTACTCCCCCACTCCCCGTTTTTCTCTCTCTCTCTGTTGTCAGGTCTGCTAACTACACACCTCCAGAACCTGTCCATGCACCTCGGAACCGGACAAACAGCACCTCAGAGTCTACGAAGAAACAGAAACGCCACCGGTATCTTGTTGTGATCAAAATTTTGAGCGGGCTCCTTGCCATACTGATGTCACTCTTCATTCGCGAGTTTGTCAAGGAGAAAGAAATAATGACGAGTCTAGAGCAGATGCAGCTTGCAGCGAACAACGCCGAGAAACTACAAAAACTCATGTCCTCCAAGCGGCTCGACTACATCTGGGATCTTTGTGACCGGACCACGTTGCGGTGCTCCCGCTGCCTGCCGGGGTGGAAGGAGTACGCTTCCCGGTGCTTCTTCCTGTCCAACATGGACAAGGACTGGGAAAATGCTCGCATCGATTGCCTCAACAACACGGGAGACCTAGCTGTCGTCCTGAACGCCGAAGATCAGGCGTTCCTGACGAACATGACATTCCAGTTTAAAAAGGCAAATCCCGGCATAAACTTCCACTCAGCGTGGATCGGGCTGCAGGACTTGGTCAAGGAAGGAATCCACTTCTGGGTCAATGGAAAGAAAATCAATCCGAATGTTATATACTGGAGACCTGGCCAGCCCAACAACGATACTGATCCTGATGACCATGTCCCTGATAGGCATGGTCAGGACTGCGTGTCCCTAATACCGCCGGATGTGGTGGGATCCAGTGGCTGGATGAACAGCTGGGATGACATTAGTTGTACAGGGAAACGTCACTACATCTGTGAGACTGATGCTCTGATTTTGGACTAGAATGGAAAAAGATAGATTAGAAAGACTGAAATGTTGTGAGGGCAACGTCATGTTGTGCGGATGCGTTTGGTATTAAGAACATGTCAGTCCTGGAATAAAACCTTCTAGAATCTGAAAAAGACTGTTTTGTCAAAGAAAGTCAAAGTCCAGATGTTGATAATTCAGAGTGTGTGCCGAGACTTAAACCTTTTTTCACACCAATCTGAGAGACCAGAGCTGACTGTAATAAAATGTATGTGTCAAATTTTTTTATTTATTTATTTTGACACAGAGTACATGCCACGCTAACCTTACCTGCAGGGAAGATTGGTCATGGCGCCGTACATCCACACATCAGTATGAACAAAACTTCTTCATCGAACTTTTCAATGCCTTTGCCGTTTACATTCCTTTTTCTGACAATTTGCAACACACCAGAGGATGTTCCCGATCTGGAAGCTTACATTGATAACTACTACTACCATGGTTAACACCGACAACCCCGCAACACAGCAGGAGACGCCAAAACCCTACAGACGAAAGAAGACATCATCCAACACCGACTTACCAATGACAGATATCGAGGTCAGTGTTCTTGTAAGGAAGCGTACCGCGATTCAGAAATTACGCCGGGGCTTTTCTAAACTGTTAAACGTTTATCGTATGTCATTCACTTTGTATTAGTCTTTGATTGTGATTTGTGTTCCCCATTCAGTCATTGGTAATCAATTTAATCTACAGTCACCTACCACGTAATTCATTTTTTTATTTTATTTTTTATTTACTACTTTTGTTTGTTTCAACTGTTTTTGCCCCTCTCTCTTCCTCAGTCACTATGCACATGCATGGGATAGAACATTTCATCATACATTCAAACATCCAAATAAGATCATACATATTATTTATGTCAATCCAGCACTGATTTATCTTCAGATGAACAACCTAAAAAAGAAATATACGGCAACTTAAACCGGCTTTAAAACACAGGAAACAAAATTTAAATAATCACTCACCTGGAAAATCTGAAAGCAGACATATGCTTTTTACAGGAAACCCACCTTTCCAATACAGAATTAAATAGTATCAAACTTAAGCAATATAGTCATATTTATTCATCAACATTCAATTTTATTGCATCAAAATATTCATTTTAACTACATTAAATCTGTAGTAGATCCTCTCGGTAGATTCATAATCATCACTATAGTAATTTATAACGTAACATATACCCTGGCTAACATTTTAGACCAAATAAAGATGACTTGTCCTTTTTTCATAATCCCACCCTCCCCCCCATTAACAATTTGACAAATGCTATAATTGATCAAACCCCAATAACTTCAAAGTCAGGCACTCCACAAGAACAGTAAATCAATATATGAGGTCTTACGAACTTGGCGATGGTTGAAGAATAAATAATCGCACAAATTAACAGTACACATTTTACTCTCCCACCCATAAATCGTTTTCCAGAATCAATGTTTTTCTTGTCAACAACAAAGTTATTCAGTAGACACCTGAAACTACAATACATCCAATTATAATTGGTGACCATGCTCCAATATCTCTTACTTTATCCATTAAATCGTGCAATAAAGCATCTAAGTGGTGGTGCTTCGATACATCCCTCCTTAAAGATCCTGAATTCAACTCTTTCATTCAAAAAGAGTGGGCATTCTTTCTGGAGATGAACGACTCTCCAAATACAGCACCGTCTTTATTGTGGGAAACAGGAAAAGCAGTATTGAGAGCCAAAATAATAGCATATTCATCACACAGGAAACAACAACAACAAATGGAGTTAAATTTAGAAAAACAAATAACTTATTTAAGTAACTCTTACAAAACAAACCCAAATGACCAAATTAAGGAGGAACTCAATAATTCAAAACGTAAAAAAAAAAAAAAATCCTTAAAAAACTGTTATTCAACAGCTAATATATAACAACTTCCAGTACAGTAATAAGGTTGGTCAATACTTAGCGAATCAGCTTAAGCATAACAAAGAAAAATCCACCATGTCAGCCATTTTAAATTCAGCTGGAGAAACAGTTCAAGACCCTCAAGAAATTAACAGGATCTTTAAATCTTTTTGTATTCAGTTACACCAGATAATAATCCAAAAGATAATGAAATAATGATCTTTTCCTTCATAAAAGGAAAAGATCTTCCCCATTTATCTAATGAACAAACTAATATACTACAGATTCACTCTCACCAGCTGACCTTCATAACAGACTTCTTAAAACAACAACAAATCACCTGTTAATTAATTAATTTCTTAATCAGTGTCTGGATAGACATAACATATTATTATTTAACTTCACACACGTACGCACACACACACACAGACACACACACACACACACACACACACACACACACACAAACACACACACAAACATTCACAGTATTTTCTTGCACTGAATCAATCCAGCTCATTATGTTTTGTGTTTGTTCTTCAATTATTGTTGAATATTACCATAGTTATTATTGTTGTTACTGTTTTGTTTTTTTTATCACTGATGATAATGTCAGCTTAAGCATTTTATTCTTCTGCTCCCGGGTTGGCCGCTGGAGATAGAGGGATATACAAAAATAAAAGAATGAATAAATACAAATTTCACTTTTTAACATCTTCCTTTGTCCTTTATCATGTCAACAACACTACAATTACCTAAGTACCACACTGGACTCTTTTCCTGTTTCTCTTTTTCTTTTTTTTTCTCTCTATTGTTTTTGTTGAATACCAATATCTAACACTTGTATTTGTTACATATCACAATAAAAAAAAAGGCAATGATTTTTTCTGTTCCCTAATGATTCAGCAGCAGGACGCGGATAGATTGCCATGGAAACCGTACTCCCTTGTTTTCATTTAAAACATGCTAATTTTTGTCCTTTTAAAATCACCTGGTCAAATATATGTTGCCAAAGTCAACAGACCCATGCCATGACATTGCTCACATATTTAAGTGACGCTATAAGACTTCCCAGGTAAGGAACAGCAGATATATTGATTTATTATATTAGCTAGTTAAGATGCAAAATATAACTGTATATAAAATAGTATGGACTGCATAATTATTTCAGAGATCTGAGAGTGGAAATTTAAGAGCTGCTTTTTATTTGCACCATTTGGACCATTTTTCTTGTTTTTTGTTTTTGTGTTTTTTTTTACTTCGCCTCCACTTCACGAACAGATTTGTGTTGATATATATCGCATTGTTATTTTGTGGCAAAATTTGGAAATATTTTAAGGGCACTGCAGCTTTAGGTAGTTTAACTACATCCGGATAACTTGATTCCCCTTTTTTTCCCTGTTGTCAGGTCTGCTAACTACACACCTCCAGAACTTGTCCATGCACCTGGGAACCGAACATACAGCACCTCTATGAAGAAAAAAAAACCCAACTGGTATATTGTTGTGATCGGAATTTTGACTGGGCTCCTTGCCACGCTGATGTTACTCTTCATTCGCGAGTTTGTCAACAACAAAGACCTGATGACGAGTCTAGAGCAGATGCAGCTTGCAGCGAACAACGCCGAGAAACTACAGAGAATCCTGTTCTCCAAGCGGCTCGACTACATCTGGACTCTTTGTGACCGGACCACGCTGCAGTGCTCCCGCTGCCTGCCGGGGTGGAAGGAGCACGCTTCCCGGTGCTTCTTCCTGTCCAGTGTGGATAAGACCTGGGAAAATGCTCGCATCAATTGCCTCGACCACAAGGGAGACCTAGCTGTCGTCCATAACGCCGAAGATCAGGCGTTCCTGACGAACATGACGTTCCAGTTTAAAAAGGCAAATCCCGGCATAAACTTCCACTCAGCGTGGATCGGGCTGCAGGACTTGGTCAAGGAAGGAAACTTCTTCTGGGTCAATGGAGACAAACTCAAACTTGATGTCCGATTCTGGAGACCTGGCGAGCCCAACAACTCTGTAGCTACCTGGGACACTGATCAGGCCGGTCAGGACTGCGTGTCCATGGTACCGCCGGATGTGGTGGGACCTGAGGGCTGGATGAACAACTGGGATGACATTAGTTGTACAGGGAAACGTCACTACATCTGTGAGACTGATGCTCTGATTTTGGACTAGAATGGAAGAAGTCCTGTTCTAAACCAGAGACATGGAAGAACATAGATCAGAAAGACTGAAATGTTGTGAGGGCAATATCATGCTGTGTGGCTGCGTTTGGTATTAAGAACATGTCAATCCTGGAATAAAACCTTTTAGAATTTGAAAAAAACTGTTTTGTCAAAGAAAGTCAAAGTCCAGATTTCTATTGATTATTCAAAGTGTGTGCCGAGACTTAAACCATTGTTCAGAGAGGCTCTCCTACCAATCTGAGAGACCTGTGTGTCAATTTCTGTCTCTGGTGTGCAAAAGGTCTACTTTGTGTGGTCTTTTCCCATAAAATCAGAACATAAAAAACATTTTAAATGTGTGGTTAAAACTAAACAAATGGTGGAAACGTAGTTTTGCAAGTTTCTTTACAATTATGCAGATTTTTATTACAGTTACATTTTTACGTTTTCAGACCTCCCCTAAGCTATCAGAGTTGCAAAATTTAATGTCCTAACTATATTTAAACGGAATGGCTCCATCTAGTGGAACAACAGGCCAATTACTGTTAATAGGAAGTAAAGAACAACAGTTTGAGATTACTTCAACATTTGTGGTTGATTTTATACATTAATAGTATATTAGCTTTAGAGAATAATAATTACGCATGTAATATATAAAAACTAACCCAAACTGATACCAGACATAATTAAGTGTTAATGAATTTGCACAGATGTCTGAGTATAAGAAATTGCACGTTTAAATATTTTTATTAGCACTGTACTATGGAGAGCCGTTTCATGTATAAATGAATAAATATAAATGGGAATAGAGATGCCAATTATTCATTTATTTATTTCCCATCCTATGGCTCTCTGTAACAACTAACCTACACCGACGTCAAACTGCGTGTGAAAAATTAGAATACGCATGCGCAATAGAGGCAAATTTGCTGTCATGGCCCCGTTCATGGAGGTTTTGTGTTGTTATGTTGTTCTATTTCGACAAATTAGCAACATTTCTGGAAGGATACAGCTTTTTCAGCCATGTGACGATATAGCCGAGTTTCTGTTTGGTGGAAACTCATCAGCCCGCTCCGTTTTTATGTGCTGCGAAGACGTAAGTTTTCAATGCTAACGCTAGCTTTAAAGCAAAACCACAGCTGGTGTTTTTACGGCTAACGAGCTACATTGTCGCTTCTTATCGTTATTCACTAATACGGTGATTATTATTCTCATTTGTCGCAGAGGTACCCTGGAGACGTTCATATTTAAGTTGAGGGGAGACATGTAGCAGTCGCGTTGGATTCTTAAAGGGACAGCAGTTGTTGAATTCAGGTAAGCTATAAATTCATCCTGTAGTTTCGTAAAGAAATGTAGACATGGACACAGCTAAATTTGGACTGAAACATCTGTAAATGATGTTGGGTCAATTGGGTCGCTTGACTCTGATGTTGTCTCTTCAGGATGAATGACATGAACCTGAGTCCTGTGGGCATGGACCAGCTGAGTGTGCCCTCAGTGAGTGCCAGCCACCTGGGTCTGCCCACCTCTCCCACTCACAATCCCATCCCCACTCCAGGTATGGAAACAGTTTATCGAGTCAAAAATTGTTTGACACCCTTAAATCAGTATAAACAAGGATTATAGCTCAATATATTGCCACTATTGGCAAGAAAAGTAAAGGGGGAAAAAAGTATTTTTTTTATAAAGTTATAAAATTCAGAGAATAAAGTATCAGCAGTAAAACAAAAATATAGTCACAGCCTGCTACTGATAATAATCTGATGCTGATGTGTTGACAGTTTAAGTGTTTCCTTAATGGTAAAATTGATACCAAAGTATAACTTGACAAGATGCTCAACATTCCTTATTTTAGGAGTTTTCCTAAAATTCTCACTTTATTCTGGCAATTTTAACAGAATAAAGTAATGTTATGGTAGTGTTATGACTTTATTCTGGTAATTCCTTCGACTTTATCCTCATAATAATATGACCTTATTGTCATATTACTATGACTTTATCCTAGTTATATTTCGACTATTCTAGTATTATTACGACTTTAATCTTGTACAATTTTATTTCCATAATAGTACAACTTTATTCTGGTAATATTGGCACTTTACTCTTGAAGTATTACTACTTCTTGTATTATTACAACTTTATTCCCATAGTACAGTGGCTTTATTCTCGTATGACTTTTTTTCTTGTTATACTGTGACTTTATTTTGGTAATATTATGACCTTTTGAAATATTATGACTTCTTGTAGTATAATGACTTTATTCTCGTCGTTTAATTTAATGTGTTTATTTCTGTCTGAGCCTTGTTCATTCCGGTGTTTGTTTCTATCAGGCATGCCGGTGGCCATCCCCAGCCTGGGCCCGTCCCTCGGCTCCCTCCCCTCTGCTCTGTCCCTGATGCTGCCCATGGGTCCTCTCAGTGACAGAGGGGTGATGTGTGGCCTGCCTGAGAGGAATTACTCCCTGCCTCCTCCGCCGTATCCCCACCTGGAGAGCAGCTACTTCCGACACCTACTGCCAGGTGGGTTTGTGATTTGTATCTGTTACTATTAGAGATAACAAGCCAAACAGTAACTCATATTTCATCTCAGTATCCACTGTCTCTTTCTTTTTATAAGGAATTTTGTCCTACCTGGCAGACCGTCCACCTCCTCAGTACATTCATCCCAGCAGCCTCAACATGGACGGGACGCTGTCCGTGGCCAGCAACAATCCCTCCAGTTTGGACCCCTACAGCGGGCCTGGGGGCCCTCTGGAGCAGGGCCTTGTGCCCTTGGACTCGAGGCAGGTCAGCGGTCAGGCAGACCTTCACCAGGCCGGCCCTCATGAGCTGGACTCCACGGGGCTGGCTATGGAGTCACGCGTTAACAGCCCGCTGTCTCCTGACCGGATGGGGGAGGAGCTAGCCAGCATGGATGGGGTGGTGGCGGTGGCGGTGTCCGACGCCCAGCAGCTCGGCGGAGGACGGCAGCCTCAGCCTCACGAGGGGCTGGACTCCTCCGGCGGGGTGATGCCTCTCCACGGGCCCCCCGTGCTGGAGCTGCCTGTGGTGATGGAGCCGGACCACCTGGGAGGCAGAGTGGGAAGCTCTGGGACGGGAGGCCCTGGGGGCGGAGGAGGCGGGGGAGGAGGAGGAGGTGGTGGAAACGGGGGGCTCGGGGAGCAGCTCCACGGGAGCGGAGAGATGAACCCGAGCGTGGTGAGCGTTGTGCTCACTGGCTCCATGTCCAACCCCGGCCAGCTGGAGCCCGTGTCTCTCCACGGACACTCGGGGATGGGGCTGGAGGCGGTCAACGTGTCCTCCATCACCGCCGAGGTGGCCCTCGGCCCCGAGAACAACCTGGTTCTCGTCAACTCCACCCTGCAGCTGGAGGATCCGGCTCCCAGCAAGGAGAACATGGCTGCCCCCTGCTCCATCTGTGAGTATAAGCGGACGATTAAAATCAGCTTGTTAAGATCAGAAACAAACACAGGGTTCGTACGGGTGCTTGAAATCCTGGGTTTGGAAAGTGCTTTATTTCTGTGTGAAGTCTTTGAAAGTGCTTGATATTGAAACTTCATATTTTTGTAATAAAGTGCAATCTAACGCTTGATTAAAAGCCTACATTTGGAAAACGTTACAGTTGAAATCAGGTACCTAAAGTCCCTCTGCCTGAAGTTAAATCAGACACTTTTCTTGTTTCAATTTAGGTAGGAGTGACCAAAACTATTTCTTTTTGTGAAATGCCAGAAAACTGAGCAAGAACATGTTTTGTAACTTTTTTTGTGTATTATGTTTAAGCATTTAATTTGACCAGGAAGGTAATTTACCTTAACACAATTTGTTTGGATTGTTTTAATGCAATCATTATTTATTATTCCTAATTGCTCAATGACTTATTGATCTGTCACTGAAATAAAGATGGTCTTATATTTTATGCGCTAGTTATTGAGATTGGGGAATTTTTTGTTAAGGTAGTGTTTCGTTCTGGGACCTGTCAGGTGTGTAGGGTGTGTGAGAGAGATATTTCAAAACAACATTTTCTTTTTGTTGCATTTTAAGCGTGACGGTGGAGAAGTCTGAAAACTTACTTTAAAAATGCTTGAATTTTACTGTGGATAAAGTGTACGAATCCTGAAATTAACAATTTGAAACATTCGACGGTACAGTTCTGACATCTACTGATCTCTGTTGATTTCTCCTCAGGGTGCACACTGTGTGAGCGCTCATACGCCTCCGACTGTCCGGAGCACGGTCCGGTCACCTTCATCCCCGATGCGCCGATCCAAAGCCGGGCTCGCCTCTCTTTGCCGCGTCCGCTCTGCCTTCGCATCTCTGTAACCGACGAACCGCTTGGTAAGAGATCAAACACCCCTCAGCTACGGCTGGGCGATATGGCTTAAAAATAATCAGATCTGATTTCTGATTTTAATAAATTATTTAAAAAGAAATTTCAATTGACAGAAAATATTTTCAAAAAGTGGCTTTTATTTCAAATGGTCATTTCTGTGAATTGCGTGACAAACTGTTTAGTACAAAACTACAAATTTTTGGGATTAACCATAAAGATAATCAATAATATTAGCAGAAAGTGCGTTTTTGCCATAAGAACTTATTAAAATGAACAGGATAAAGTCATTTTAATGAGAAAAATCTTCTAGAATTATAAAGGTCACTTGTAACTATGGAAGCAAGTGGTGCATTGATGTAAAAAAAGAAATCCAGATCTTACAAAAAATGTAATCTTCAAAACCAAAAATTGGATTAATCAATAAAATCGACTTATCACCCAGCCCTATTGTAAGTTTTAGCAATTTATTGTTATATTATCAAATGTTTCCCAACATGTTTTCCAGGAGTGGTTGCACGGGACGTCATTCCTCAGAGAACCTGCTTCGGGCCAATGGTGGGGCAGCACTGCAGCAACGTGGATCTCTCTGATTGGCCAGAAAAGGACACGCCTCAGATCTGGAAGGTCTGTTGACGCGCAGCTGTCTAAATCCACCAACGCTTTTTACGACAAAAATAACGAATGGAAATGCATGTCTGTCGCCGTAGATGTACCACAACAACGTGCTGGAGTTCTACATCGTGACGACCGATGAGAACGAGTGCAACTGGATGATGTTTGTGCGCAAGGCGAGGTAGGTTCCCGATCACTCCCACGTGCAGGAGGTGGAAAA